AAGCAATTCGAATTATATTCAAATAATAATAATAATAATAATAATAATTCGAAACTTGAATAATCCATGTGCAAATATTTTTTTTTTTTTTTGCATTATCGTATTCTGCAAACAATTAATACATCAAGTTAATGGTAAATTACGAATTGAAGCAATTCGAATTATATTCAAATAATAATAATAATAATTCGAAACTTGAATAATCCATGTGCAAATATTTTTTTTTTTTTTTGCATTATCGTATTCTGCAAACAATTAATACCTCAAGTTAATGGTAAATTACGAATTGAAGCAATTCGAATTATATTCAAATAATAATAATAATAATAATAATAATTCGAAACTTGGATGATCTCTGTGTAAATATTCTTTTTTTCTTTTTTTTTTTTTGCATTATCGTATTACGTATAACGAATAATACTCGTTTGAATATGCAATTAACTCTTGCTTTTTAAAATCGCGTTTCTTATGCTAATAATGGGCAATTGAACTTTTCCATTAACTTTGTTTCGATAGATTTCCTTTTTTTTTTTTTTTTTTTTTTTTTTCATTATTATTACTATTATTATTATCATTATTATTATTATTGTTATCGTTATATGAACCAGTTCCATTAATAATTTTCCAACGACACGAGGCCATTGCAATTATCATATTTTTCTTCTCTATCCATTATCAATCTTTTTTTTTTTTTTTTTTTTTTTTTTTTTTTTTTTCCCCCCCTTTGGGAAACAAAAAATGTTTTTTTAAAAAAAAAATTTTTTCTTTTTTTTTTTTTTGCATTATCGTATTACGTATAACGAATAATACTCGTTTGAATATGCAATTAACTCTTGCTTTTTAAAATCGCGTTTCTTATGCTAATAATGGGCAATTGAACTTTTCCATTAACTTTGTTTCGATAGATTTCCTTTTTTTTTTTTTTTTTTTTTTTTTTTAATTCTATTCAACGATTGAAAGAAAGCGAACGAGTTGATTGACGATAAGCTGCTGATTGATTTAATCAGATTAATCATCGGAAATTTTTGTAAACATTGATTGTTTCTAATCTTCAAATCACCTTCTTCAAGGTGGAGGAAGAGAAATTGAAAAAAATTCCAGAAAAAGAAGTTAGATTTTGATAAAAAAAAAAAAAAATAAACTTTTATCTCGCGTAGTACACAGTTTTTCATTGTGATTCGATTTTAAACGATGATATCATAACTGTTTTTTTGTTGTTTTCGAGCCTGAACACGTATTGATACACGTTTTCAATATCGAAATTTCGAAATATAATACCGCATTATTATTTATTGCATTTAATTAATAATAAATATCTCTTTTCTTCTACTCTAGGAAGATATTTTGATACGATTTATTCCTATAAATATTCATAGCAACATCGTTCGAGAGAGGATCGTTAAGTTATATAAGTCGTTAAAGAATAATTTTAGAAATAGCGCGACAATCGATGCTTTTCATGGAACAAGCCGGAACATTAAATTGGACAACAAGATAATTTTAGTAGGAAAAAAAAAAAAAAAAAAAAAAAATTCAATCTTACACATTTTATTCCAAAGATGGTTGAATAAAAAAAGACCTTGAAAAGTCACAATTGCACGTGCCTTTTTTTACATATTTTCTAAACCATTTTTATGTTTAGAAAATGATAATACGATATTTCGTTGTTTTATAGAATTCGTTGTGTTTCGTTACGTTATACCATATATATAAATATATATATATATCGGTGAGCAATTATTGGTTATACAGTAACACTTGATGAAACAAGTCTTACGTAATTGTTGAATGTCATTGTATGGCAATCCAAGCGTTCTATTTTTGTCCCATTGTAAAAGCTACACCTGCCATCTTTTTGCACAGCATTGACTTTAAGTGACTGCGATTATCCCCTGTTTAACAACACTCCAGTTTCTACGGCTGAAAGCGGGCATGGTGATCCCATTCCTCGCCGATGAGTTGAGCTCAGTGTTCCATTCGAAGTAACGAGTGACGAATAAAATTTTATTCTATATAAGTCTTTTTCTCTCCCTCCTTCGAAATAATTGTTATTATCCTTCTCGTCGTTTCAGACAAAAAAGTCGTACGTACGTCGCACGAACTAAGTCATTAAATTGCTTAAATGAGTGTTCGAGAATTTCGTGGTCGTCGTCTCCCTCCCGTTATCTTATCTTTCTCGCGGAGAAAATTCGAATTCGAAATTTTTGAAGGAAAGGTGAAATTTTATAAACACGTTTCCAAACACGAGAATTCGATTCTTGGCCAACGTTTCCTACTGGTAGACCGACCGCAAGACTTCCGTTGGAAGCTCGTAATTTCCGGTAAGATAAGTTAAGCGGGCAAAAAACACAGGCGATTAGTAAGGTTCGGTCGAGTCCGTTGAAGACCAAGAGAAGAGCCTTGGGCTCGAAATTCAGCAAACCGTGTACCAACTTTTACGCTCCATCCTCGTCCATCCTTGTAATCCTTTTTTATTTAGCGGTTAACGAAATTTCGTAAACTCGCTTAACGCGTTTCTTCTCTGTGCAATCCGTGTGATATATATCGGATCCTCTCGTTCGTCGATGATTATTTGACGTATAGATTAGGAAAATTTTCAGTTCTATTATTACTCACGATCATCTTAAATTTAATTCTTAAGATAAAAAATAGTATTCAACGCGATAAGAATTAAGATAACGCTATTAAAATTACGTTATTATCGTTTTATTATAAATAAAATTCCGATACAGATTAACGTTTCACGATATAATTCGAACGAACTCATTTTCGAGAACCCTTATTGGAACTTTCAATTGTGTATATATATTCACCAGTGCGTTAAATTATACTTTCACCGTGTCTTTCTTCTAACGCATTACGCGCGAATTACGTAGTTTGTTGGCGTCTATACCGTGTGGATGTAATAAATTTTGCCAATTTCGACGTTTGTTTCAATTGTAACGTGCTTATTTTACGAATTATCGCGTAGATCGAATTTTCATTTCGAAAAAATTGACGCAACACGGCAACGGTTGCCATCCGATTTCGAATTTCGATTTGTTACGCAAGTAGGAATATAGCGTAGAAAAAAACGTTGAAAAAATTCTACGATATATTTTTACGATTATAATCCCTAATTTAGAACATCGATCAGTTGTTAAAAGGTGAAACGGTTAGTCCGTGCAACATGGTGGACGCACACGAAGCATGCGCACTGTTTATTTACACGGTAGAAAATTTTCATCAACCGATCATTTTTCAATTTGTTTGTGAATGGAGATAGAGATAATTGTCTGGGAATATTTGTTGCACAGATATATGTGCACACGTTCGAATATATGAAAACAACAGATCATTTTTTTAATCGTTGAATCGTTTAACACGTGCTTATCGTTCCATGTGTTTCCAAATCGGACTAAACGTGCTTAACGATGTTTCGACGCAGAACGTACTAGAAGGTCGGGAAAAGTATTGTCCTATTACTCGCAACTGTTATTGACAGTGGGCGAAGTTGCGAGAAGCATGTTTTGTTATTAACACAAACGAATATGTAGGACAGGAAAAGCTTGATAAATTCGCTATTATACGAATTTCTTTTCTTTTAAAATTTCTTTTCAGATTATTGACGTAGAATCTTGCGTGACACGTGCCTAGGTCACACTCATGCACATATTTCGTTGAAAGAACAACATCGGATCCGAATAATGTTTACTGGTGAAAAAAGTCGCGCGGGACGGCAGAGGAGCAAGAGGGGGAGTCGCTAGGACCGCCTATCTCTACTTCAAACGCTTTGTTGACAATTCTAACATCACACGCTACATAGTAGTGGAAAAGCTATAATTTGAATATTCAAAATCGTAAAAGTTATTTTCATTTATGAAGTCATGTTAGGATAATCATCCAAGATTGAAAATTGAAATATTTTTTAAACAATTAATTATTTCGATGTAATATTAATATATCTTTGATACATTTAGCTTGTTCGTATATATACAATTATTATCGTTACAAATCATAATTAGCCTAAACATATTATGAGAAATAAAAAAATTTTTATATTACATCGTTACGTTAGAATTCTCTGAATAAGTTTAAATAAATACGGATCATCGTTTTGGATCACTATGTGTCACAAATAATAGAAACAAAAAAGCGTATTAAAATAGATATTTTCTTTCGAGACTTCTTTCCACCAGTAAAACTCTTTATTTTACAATAGCTCGGACCTAACCTATACTTTCTACTTTTTTCTTACTTTTATGTGCCTCTACAGCACATGGAGTTGGTACAATGGCAACGTCGTAGATTTCTCCATAATACGATGTCCAAAACTGCAACACGTGTTTCCCCCACGTGCATCGAAGAATTATCTGCCTCTTTAAACCGTTACGGAATCCTCGAAATCCTGTTACAAGATATCGAAGATTCAAAACAAATTTTTTTTTTCTCGTACGAATATTTTAACCATATAAGAATATTTTTAGTACTTCAGAGGTGACGATCATCCGATTTATAAATAATTGCGTGAAGTTATGGAAGAGGAGAGTTATATATATGTATATATGTATATATACATATTATCAATGTATTTTCCGAACGGTATACCGGTTTCGCACCTGTTCGCCTAACTCGAACAGTATATTCATTTACGACTCGATACGTTCGAGAAAAATTGGAAAATATTGCCAACGATATAATTACCGTTAACGTCCAATGCAAGAATATAGTTACGATCATTTTATAATTATCAATCGTGACTAAGCTTCTTCTTTATTACATTACGCTTAAAGAAAGCATACGCAAAATTTTTTCTTCTTTTTTTTTTTTAAGACTTACACTTTGGGAGACTCGACACGAGTATATATATATATAAAAATAACTCGTAACCAGTCTTGACCTCCTACCTCGACCACTTCCAATATAACGTAGCATATCTTCTCTGTTTATACATTTATACAAGAAACGCAGCGAAACGTATCCGACGAAATCAAAGAGATTTGTGAACCTCTCTGTTTCAGGAACGGGCGAAGAGAAGGACATTGTTGCTTATCCTCGGCGGGAAGGGGCGGAAGAAGGATATTCCGGAAGATATTCCCCGGTTTTTCGTGAGAATAACCACCTCTTCTCCGCCATCGTACGTGAGAATAACTGGCAGAGGTCGGCCTTGAGGTGTGGAAACACAACGGGCCGGTGGTCGGTGGTTGTGCGCCGCCTTGTGTAGTAGTAGTAGTAATCTCGGAAGAGCGGGGGGAGGGGGGGGGGAGGGGACTCGGCATCGCACAGAGAGAGAGATTTATTCGAGTTTCACAAGCTCTCTCGATCACCGGCACCGGTCGTGACCTCGATAGAGCTCATCCACCTGGTTGTGTTGGATAACTCGAAGCAGCAGCGGCAGCCGCCGCCGCCGCCGCCGCCGCCACAGGACCCTGAAAGGTCGAGAGCTCTCCTTTGCAATCTCCCTCTCCTCCGCCCTTCCTCTTCCTCTTCTTCTCCTTTCTTCCTTCCTCTTCTTCTTCGGTTGCACGAAAAGTCGCGAGATGTAGCGATTTTTCGCAACGACCACCATCGCCCTCTTCAAACGGCGCGCGCTTCCTTTGTTATGTATCGTTCCACGTGTCTGTGCGCAGAGTAGCGGAGTAGTCGCGTGCGTGGAACAAAGAGAGAGATAGATAGAGGGAGAGAGGGAGAGAAAGAGATAGAGATATTTTCGCGCTTATTCGAGAGAGAAAAGGATGAAAACGATGGGCGACGTGGTCGCGGATCCCATCGAGGAGGAGAACAGCGTGGAGGGCACGGCGCAGAATCCGACTGGCGGGAAAGAATTCGGCCAGAAGACGCTCAGGTCCTTGAAGAGGGGGCTCGGCAGGCTTTGGAGGAGGCATCGTGGCAATGCCTCGATCACCGAGTACGACCCCTGCTACAAGGTCGCTTATCTTGGGAACGTTCTCACTGGATGGGCCAAAGGTGAGCGAATAAAACCTTTTATCTGATCTCCTTTGTCTTTTCTTTTTTTACTCTTCACTTGACAAGCGTTTTCGCGCTTACCATACATAAGGTAATAAATTCGCCTTTCGTTCCTCGTCTCGATCATCAATTCTTATTATTATTTTCCTTTTTTTTTTTTTTTTTAAATTGTTCCAAAGTCTTGTAGAGAGAATAATAACGTTGAATTGGTATTCGTTACGATTACCTAGATAAATAAATAGCTTCTGATGACTGATAGATGTGTATAATATACGGAGAGATCGATTCCTTTAACGTGAAGAAAGACCTGGCTATAAAATAATCGTGCGATCCGCCATCCCTACCTCTCCGCTCCCCCCTCCTCCCTGTTCACGAAACGGCAATTAAAGATTATGCGGCGAGGAGGAGAGTGTAGAGAGGAGGCGCGCGCATATTTCTGAAGCCCGCGAGACACGCGACGAGCGAGCAGCCGGAAGTGCGCAATACTTCTTGCAGTTAGCCTGGTCGAGCGCAAGGTTAACTGGCGCAATCNTATATATATATATATATATAAATTCGACTTTTCGTCCGTTTATTATCGTTAAACTTGGCCGCGTGAATCGAAAGCGGCCGCCAAGCCTCGTAAAAGGGGGTCGTAATTGCATTCGAGATATGATACGTGGACGCGACACGAGCGGCCCTGTTTCAAGCCTTTTTTAACTCGATTCTCGATTGATTATCTTTTAATCGTCGTTAAATGTTTCGAGAGATTGGCGTCGGATGTGGCAAATTTAACAAATTGTATATATACTATATATATATACATAGTATAGAACAATTTCATTAATTTCAACTTCTTCCTCTCGTCTATCTGAACGATAACCATGATGGCTCGTGAAATGACTATACCAATCGTTTCTAAGAATACCGTATCGATTTAGTTACATAAAACTACGGAGTTTCTTAAAATAAAAAAAATGACTCATTGTCATCGGGCATCGAGTTTTTCCGTTTTTATCCATTTATTATCGCAATTTCTCCAGGTTCTCGAAAAATTAGATCATTTCTTATTTTTAATAATTTTATTTAATTTACTTTTTATTCCGTAATAATAAATTAAAACAATTTACGTAATAACATTCCAATTATCGATCCAATTTATTTATTTATTTACTTATTTTTTTTCGACTTGTGAGGACAAGTGTGGTACAGAAGTCGATCGAGATTAAAAAATTTTAAAATCGGATAATCACAGAAGAATCGTTTCGTTAAAATAAAAACTCGCGACTTTGGGGATTAATAGGGAAGGAATTAGGAAAAATGTCGGGGGGACAGGAATTAATTAATCGGGGGCGAAATAAGGCGGTTGCGAATAAACGTACCGTAATAATGGCGTTCACGATGATTAAGGCCGACCCAGTCCGAGGCGAAGGTATGCAGAGAAAGTAGGAGCCCCCCTCCGTATACGCCTATGTCCGGTCGTTGCACCGCGCAATGCTTCTTTCTTTTTAATCTCTCACCACGCGTCGCTCCTGGGGAAATTCGCGTTGACATTTTGCCTAATTTCTTCTCCTTCCTTTCTCTCCCTCTTTCTTCTTCTTTTTCTTTTTTTTTTTTTCTTTTTATTTCCCGTCGCGTTTTATGACCCGTTTACGATCGAGATTCCGTTCTCTCGTAAGGAGGAAAGGAATGCAATGCGCATCGATACCTCCCCCCTCTCCCCATACGCTACGTGGAATAATAGTATGAAGAGATTAGACATCGACTTATCGATGGAGGAATTATCGCCTGACATTTAGAACGGTTTTTTCGTTCGTTGAACTCGAAAACAATCGTTTAATCGATGGTTTTGACGATGTCGATTTTCTTTCGTATTTTTAATCTTTTTATAGTGGAGATTTAGGTTAGGTTAGGTTAAGTTTTTTTTTTTTTTTGCGTTTTAGAATCGCTAAGATTTTAAAATTCGATATTTTTATCATCATCAATTTTTGTGGTATATATAGAATGAATAAAAAGATGCCTCAGAGTTGACTTTCCTTTTTTTTTTTTTTTTTTTTTTTTTTTTTATTTTTTTTTAGGGGGGATTTTGGGTAGGTTGGGTTTAGTTTTTTTTTTTTTTTGCGTTTTAGAATCGCTAAGATTTTAAAATTCGATATTTTTTTCCTCATCAATTTTTGTGGTATATATAGAATGAATAAAAAGATGCCTCAGAGTTGGCTTTCCTTTTTTTTTTTTTTTTTTATTTATTTTTAACCTCTCATTGACTTAGCTAGTACTTACTTAAAGATGAAGGTCAAGTATTGTCGCTTGTTTACAATAACGATACGTGACAAGAATAAATTAATTCCCGTATTTAAATACGTGCATAATTTGAAAGTTTTTATTACAGTTGATAATGATACAGGCGACATTTAAATAATCTTCAATCGAAGGAATAAATACGTTAATTAATATATACTAGAGAGATCTATCGTATATATATATATATATATGTATATGTTTTGTCTTGGAAGAGTATATAAAAAAAAATACGTAAGAAGGAAGTTTCTAGAATGATATTTCTGGCGCTGCTGCTCCTTCCTCGAATCTCCTTTGAACAGTTTCCAGTTTTGATACGAGTTTCATTCTCGTTCACCTTCGCGCCATTCTCGAGAAGAATGCAAATAGATCTAGCCAAATATCGTCATCTTCGACCTCCTATAATTTTTATTTGACTTATGTTTCTTTTAATACTTCGCGAGCAAAGATTTCCAAGGTCTTTTTTCCTCCTTTCGATCTCCTTTCAACCGGTTTCTAAATATCCGCCACACTAATTCTGCAAATTGATCTCATTTTTAATACGAAAATACTCTTTTCACTAACATTCGTAAGATTCTTCTGTATTTTTCTTCTCGTTCTTATTGGAAATAACGCGATATATCGTAATAAATTATCCTCGTATTTCCTCCATTCCGTGCAATCGGTACGAAGGCATGCGCCTACTTTTATCTGGAATTTCCGCTGGGTGCAAGTAGTAGGGCAAAAAAAAAAAAAGAAAAAAAAAAGTGTGCAAAAATTTCACATAACCGTTTTGTAACGATACGTGTCCCGTTCGAACAAAACGACAAAAGAATCTAGGGGAAAAAAATTCACTATATATATCGCGCAATTAAAATCATTTTTTAAAATTAATTCCCCATTAAAAATTCTTATCCACGATGATACATCGATAGAATCTCTCGATTTCGTAACGAAAGAATGAACGTTGAAGAAAAACGCGACCGTTTAAAGCAATCGTGGATTTCATTAAACGACCTCGTCGCATCAATCCCATGCATCTGCATTATCGATCGATCGTGGAGGTTCGTTACCTCGGCTGCCCAATTGAACCTGGAGGCCTGGATTGGCATCCAGCCGGCAACAATGGGTCCGAGCAAACTCGCTCGAAACTTTTCATTTCCTGCGCGAGCCGCTAACTAGGAGAGGAGCGCGGCGAAACTATACCATGCAGGGGGAGTAGTGTCGCATTCCGCCTCTCATTTTCCATGGAAATCTCTTGATCGACCGGGTCTGGCAATATGGCGGACGGCCTAACGGAAGAAAAATGGACGGTATTACTTTTAATTGGATAATATCGAACGTGTTACGGGCTGATGGCCGTGCATCTACAGTTTTGCTCGTTCTCGAACCTGGACTCTGTTCGAACCTCTCTCTCCCGTTGTTTCCTGTTCCGCGTCCGTTCCAGATCGCCCGTTTTTCCGCTCGCGATTCGATATGTACCGAGCGTACACGTTTCTCGTGTCATTGAATCGTGACGATCATTGTCAACGAGTCGCTTTCTCTCGTTCGTATCGATATATCGAATACAGAAGATTAAATAACGCAAATTAGTGTGTGCTCGTGGATAATGCAAAAGTTGGAATTGCAATTTATCAAGTATGCGGTGTATCAAGAAATGTTTAGAGAATGTTTTAAGTGAAAAGAGAATGGCGATCGGATTGGAATACAAATCTACAATTTCGTATTTTATTTTACGAGCAGAGCATGTAAAGAGATTTTCAGAAAAACGTTAAGAACGATGAGAAATAGTAAAGGAAATAGTATAATAATTTAGCATTAAATTGTTATTGTTTTGTTGCTGTTTTGCATAAATGCCAAACGTATAACATCGGATTTCGAATTATTTGATCATCGGATTTTAAGAAGAACGATATTTTTGCTTTTAATTTTACATAACTTTAACGACGAATTCCGAAAGACACAGGCAGTTTCGCTTCGGAAAGCCATATTGCTACGAGTATTATGAACATGTG